TAAGGCTTGTCTCATGCCTCTAAGGGCTGGTCTACACTGGGGGTGGGGGGAATCGATCCAAGATACGCAACTTCAGCTACGTGAATAGCGTAGCTGAAGTCAAAGTATCTAAGATCGAATTACCTAGGGTCCACACGGCATGGGATCGACAGCCGCAGCTCCCCCGTCGACTGCGCTACCGCCGCTCACTCTGGGGGAATTCCGGAGTCAACGGTGAGCGCGTTCGAGGATCGATATATCGTGTCTTAACAAGACACGATATATCGATCCCGGATAAATCGATTGCTAACTGCCAATACGGCGGGTAGTGAAGATGTACCATGAGGGACATGGCTTCAGGTGGCTCCTACTGTTCAGAGTTTTCTGTCAGGCAAAGCAGTGAGGGCCGGGAAGTGCAGCCTTCATCCCAAAGTTCTGACAGGCAACCTGGGGCCTGGTCTGTGTTTGGCTGGCACAGAGCTTACACACCCTAAGTGTGCTGGCAAAAGCCTTAGTGTAGACATAGTTATATCATCAAAAAAGTTGTTCTGGTGGTATTGCATACTTTGTTCTATGAACTACGGTAAGCAAAATAAGTCTTGCTAGTCTAAGGTGCATCTCCACTAGGAACATTTGCTGTATGGTATAGTTTTACTGCCAAACCCTTTCTAGTGTACACAAGGCCTAGGCTACGGCACCGAAACAACTGTGGTTGCATTGATGGGTGATGTCCCCGGGGATATGAAGAGATGAAAAACATTTCTTTATGCTAGTTCCGTCAGCAGCAAACACCGGGAGTTGCCAACTGTTGCAATTTTATCACAAGTCTTGCAGTTTTAGATGCGTTTGTTATGATTGCCGATTTCTACCATCCATACTTACAATTTTTGGCCTTAATCAAAATGTTCATTTTCCCCATCACTTCAACAGACTTGAAATTACAGGCTGACGTCAGTAAAGATGGCCACCATTTTTCTCTAATCTTTTTATGTTATATGGGAAAGTGAAGCCATCACTATCCATTGCTTCCAATGAAACTGGAGATTGGCTGCCAACTTCCTTGAGAGTTCCATGGTCAAGAAATTGTAAAAATGGGAATGTGGGGTGTATGCAAGGGAACATACAAGGCAGGAGGGAGATCAAGGCAGCATAAGGGAATGTGGGAGTAGGGGTTGTTAAAGAGATGACAATAAAGGAGATGGAGAGGCACAGGGGAATATTAGAGCAGGTAGGGGGAGAGGAGAATGTGGTGAAACATTGGAGAGAAAATATGAGTGGGGCAGGAGACCTGGTAAAGCAAGGAGAGAGTCAGCATAGTGCAATAAAGGTGTATGTGTGTAGAGATAGTTTGGGATTAGAAGAGGGTGAATCCCCTTTCCCCAGCAGCCATCTGGAGGTCACATTTTTGAGTATACATTAATGTTGGATTTTAAACCTGAAATGATCACACAGAAATTGGGGGTGGGCAGCTTTTCCCTAAAATCTCACAAATCAGAAGGCAAATGAAAAACAGTATTAAAACAATCACATGATTTATTGGGATCTGAATCATGATTTTTGAACATTTGGAGTTGGAAGTACTAGACACTATTGACTACACATGTTGACAGTGTAGCACTAAACTGTGATGATTCTGGGATCTCACATACAGTAATTTATCTATGTATTCATAAAGGCATTTACTTTGATATTAAGGCATTGGTGTCATCTCATAAGCTTTTGTTTCCCTACAGCCCTCTTGTAGAATATTGCAAGGCACAATCCCATCTCCTCTAGTTTTCAACATACATGGGAGACTTCTACAGGAGAATGCGAGATGCCTTGGACTCCTATGCCAATAGGCAGATGGCACGCATCTCTTTTTCCTGCAGATGTCGTTAGCGTCATCACATTGGATAATGTAGTGCCTAGAAGAGATAAACAAAGTGATGAATATCAGCCACTTCACCCATATCAGAACAAAGAGCTGATGATAGCAAGAGGAAAACACTTAAGAGGAGCTCGACGGGACACTAATCTCATCTTCTGCTGAAGGCAGTACACCATCTCGGTCATATTGGATTTACCACTGTTCTGACTTACACACTTATGGTACGTCTACACTACAGCAGCATAACTATGGTTCTTTCGACCTAGCCACATCTACACTGGGGTAAGGTCAACCGTAAGAATCACCATAGTGGGTCAGATCAATGGTCCATATAGTTCAGTAGCCTGTCTCTGACAGCAGCCAGTGCCAGACACTTTAGAGGGAAAGAACAGACCAGGGCAATTTCAAGAGAGCCATCATGTCTTCCAGTCCCACCGTCTGGCATTTAGGGGTTTAGGGACACCCAGAACATGGGACTATATCCCTGACCATCTTGGCTAATAGCCATTGATAGACCTATCCATGAATTTATCTAATTCTTTTTTGACCCCCATTTTACTTTTGGCCTTCACAGCACTCCCTGACAACAAGTTCCACAGGTTGACTATATTATGTGAAGAAATACATCCATTTGTTTGTTTTAAACCTAGCTAGAAAATTCACTCCTCCCTTAGTTGAATCATTGTGATC